TACCACACAAATAAAACTGAACACAATCACCTACAAAATAATGACTATTGGTGTATGTTGGCAAACCAACCTAATCTAATCTTTAATTAATAATTGCCATTAATTACATTTTGGTGTAGTAAACACCATGAAATATAGGAGCTCCATTCATTTTGCTGAATGACTAGCAATATTCTATAAGTGTAAAGCTTGTCTTTTCAGTAAAATCTACCCAGATAGAAAAGTTGACAATGCGGCGCACTGAAGTGATTAGTGACTTTCACTTTTTAACACATTTCCTGAGACAAGTTTTGTCGATGAATTTCCCTATAGACTACAAAAAAATGTATCAGCTAGACTTTTTCATCTTACTTTACAAAGTGGGTTATTTTTTACAGCCAAGGCCAATAAAAATAAGTAAAAGAATAAGTGAACCTAACTTGTGGCAGTAAAACTTTTGATGCGAGAGCTGTTTGTCGTCATAACATAACAAAGAACGTTCGTTGAATTCGGTCAATCAACAAACGTGTTGTATCCTATTTAAATCAATATGCAAGTGTTTTAGACGATCGACTATCGCCCAGCGTGTAATTGTTCGACGGAAGATTAGTCAAGTATTATAGTAGATTGCTCGCGAGCTCCGAGCGGAGTCGGGCTCGACGTGTGGCCGCAGCGCAGCGCGCACGCCCCTGGCCGCCTGCTCTCCGCCAGCCCGCGGGAGGGAAACGCCTTCGACATTCGCTGCCTCGGTCCCTACCAGATGCCCACAATGTTTCGTGCGCCGAAGACGTCGCTGGCGCGCGCAATTTATTGTCACGTCTTTCATTATCATCGCCACTGAATCGCAATGCTGCGATCTCCGGAACTATTATAGATTTTGACACCATCTCGCATGCGCGAATGCATACGGCCGCCGCGTTTTAAACTCGGCCGCGGCGTGATCACAAAAAACTGAGTCCGATGACCCTCAATGACTATCATCACACACAAAAAGCACATTCACAAAAAGAATACTATTCTCATCCCGTAACTTTCGTAAATCGATACACGATGCAGCGATGCACCATTTCATGTTTACGTGATCCCAGATAAAGCCACCATGGCGTCACCCGGGACTAAATACGTAAAAATCTAACAATAAACACTCACCAGTTGTCTTGGAACTTGTTTTTTGTTATTCGGCAGTGTTTCCGACATGTTTGTATTAGTCAGAAACACTGCACCACGAAATTAACACTATTTTACGTAAATATTTTACACGGAGCACGAGAAAAAGTAACGCAATCCACCATTTGCAATAGTCGACACTGCTGCCAACCGTGCGGCGAGCAATCACTCCGGTAAACTACTGTAGGTTGGTACTACGTAAAATGCCCTATTGGTTTATTTATGAAACGAAAATGGCGCGAACGTTCAAAACATCGTAAAATTAATTTGTGTTAGCTAATATTTATTTATGAAAAGTATTAATGTGGTAATATTTTGATTTATCACATCTCACTACAAAACTTGTATATATAGGTAAAAACCGGTAATTATTGTTAGAACGAAATTTTTTTAAAACGTTTTTTGTTGAAAACCACATGCAAAAGCAAAACGTTTTATGTGTTAAGTATCAAATCAACACTTTGTTATGAATAATATTATTTTGTTAAATATTTAGTTCGTCTGAGTATAGATGCGTAGATTTTTACACCGAAGCAAACTGCCGCGTAACTCTGACACGAACGCCACGAGTATACTAAACTCATACTCTGTACAGTGCTAACAGCCGACTGTTTGAATGAATGTTTAAGGTGGTATTAATTTGCTAATACTATAATTTACTAATTGTGGCCATTTAAAAAAATTAATAAGAGATAATTTTGTTACGGTATTGTCATATTTGACATAATTTTGTAATACCAATAGAAGTCAACCTAAGTACATAATAAAATGAGCATTATTTATCTAGCCCCTTTGAAATTTTCGGTATATACCTAATTTAAAAGTTTTTTGGAAAAAATATTGCTCTAATCTTACTCAATAGAAGTGAAAGATAAGTACTTATTTCTGAAAACGGCTCGTCTTTTACGAAGATTCCTGTCTCTGGAGCCCTAGCCAGTAACTCTTTCGAGAGAGGCGCTCCCGTCTGGTAGGATAATACACCAATTTTGTGTTAAAATCTAAGAATGAACTTTCAGAATAAATAAGCCGTTAATTAATAACTTTTTTATAATTAAAATATTTGTTGATTACTAAGAACAATAACTATGATCGCGATGTATGGAATAATCAAATAAAAAAGTTAATTTAACAGTTGCCTTTAAAAAAAAATCTTCAACTTTTTAGATTTTTTAAAATATAGTACAATTTTAAGAAAGAACTGTTCTTTTAATTGTTATATAAAATTTAACAGTGAACAGTTCTTTAAATATAAAATTAAAATAATTTAGTTAAATTAAAATTAATGTAAGTAGGGACCTAATCATTAAACATATTTTTTGCCATTGTAAGATTTAAGCAATATAGGTTTTCTGTAACACAAAAGCGGGTAACTGGTATTTCAGTATAGTATTTGACTGTGCCACTGGGTACCTATTATTGTACCTATTACTTTGTTATTATTATTTTTTCAACATTTTATGTAAGTACCTACTGTGTTTTTTAAATTGTGATTGTTTAAAAAAAGCCTAAGTAAGCAAATAAATCTGCACATTATCTAATGTAAATTTAGTTGTATGAAATAAGAGAGATTAGCAAAGTATATAATAGGTTACATATTAGTTTGGTTTTGATGTAGTGATTTGATAATACATCCACAGGTAGGTAAATATAAGATATTAAAAATTGTATGAGCAACAAAATTGTTCAGGCTGTTTGTTTTCTTTTTATTTAATAATTTAAGGCTTCATAATTTTGCCAATAAAAAATGAACAAAGACCACAAAACTAACCAAATGTCAGTTTATTTATTTTAAATATATATTTTTTTATAACAGACTTAATATTTTATTTATTACGTGTACAAAAAAAATACCGAAATAAAAGTACGTATTTTTCAATAGTCATATGTTATCTAAGGAATAAAATTGTTGCTGTCACCGTCTTAAACAAGCCTTCTGACGCGACAGCATCATAATTATTTCCCAGATAACTTTACTTTTATTTTATCTAACCATTAAAAAGTCACATTTTAGCTACGTAAATTATTTCGTTGAAGATAAATCTCAACGTAATTCTCATAACAAAATAGAAAGGAATTTATATAAGGTTCTTATTTTACGTCTAAAATAAATTATTTTATATTAGGAACTAAAAAATTCCGAAATTATTCATCTGTTAAAGTTAACGTTGCATGTGGCAACACCGTTATTCAAATATCAGACAGAATAAGTAACAATGGTGAGCTGCTGAGCTGTACTTTTATTGTTGGCTTATCAAGAACCACGTGTTGTTATATTTGAAACTAATGATATAATTGAAGTTTGAAATTAATAAATTTCACTATTGTACGAAATGAATACACACCCAGTGTAAAATGTCTTATTTGAAATTATTATTCAGCTAAGTAGGTATCTCTTGTGTAGAATACCTAAGCTTACAGTCCAGCACTAAGTTTTTGATGATGAAAATTTATAAAATCATTTATTTAAAATCACTAATATATTGTCTTATGTTTTGTAGTTTTTTATGATTTACATTGTTATTTATTTTGAATTAGGTATATAATAATATATTAAAAAGATATAATTATAATTTTGTGAACCTAAAAAATATGTTTGGCAATATGTGTCATGACTATTGCGTTGCCTTAAGTTCTTGACAGGCGTATTGAAATAAATATTTTCTTACTTTATTTCTATTAAAATTGATGAAAGTTTAAACACATATAAATTTTCAGATGTTATTCGGGATAATTTTGGGACTGATTTATAATAATGATATGCTATTCTTTCAGTTTTTTTGATGCACTAAAGTCATCTCATGACAAATTCTAACTGACTAAAAATCACTCCATTTCTTATCCTGCTCCAGACCGAGGCTGTGGTTGACCTGCAACCCCGGCTGAATATCAGGCCTATTGGGCCCCAATTTTAAGTAGTATCTTTGAAGTGCGCGGAACCCTATGCGCCGTCATGTTGGGTCTGTTTCTGGTCGAGCCAAACGAGCAAGGCTACTTTAGAGTTACCCTTGCTCACCATCCGTACTTTCAGTTTTGCATACTTACTCATTTTTAACATTTTCCAGACTCCATGCGCCACTTTTCTACTCCTGACCGTAGGTGCATCACAATTTTTGTTTAATTACTATTATAAGTAAGTCAAGATAAATACCATGGCATTACGATATACGAGTATTACTCATCAACAAGATAATTTTACTAATATGTAATATAATTAGGTATTGCATAAGAAGAACCTTTTTAACAGAATTTCGAAATTCGAAATCATTTTCAACTACACACTAATTAACTAGGCAATACCATAGACTAAATTAGTGTATTATTAGTCTATGGCAATACTTAATGATTACCTATTTATTAATCTATTTAGTTTATATTGTTTTACTCTTCATAATTCGGTCGTAGTAGTTATTAAGGAATCCACGCCGCCGCCCACAACACCCGCAGGATCAGAGGTGACTGGTGAATAGCCAGACTTGCTCGTTTGACCCAATAGTAAATAATGTCAAAATTTTAAGCTATGGGTATAAGTTGTCGTAGGTACCTTTATTTTTTTAATGTTTACTGTCTAGTATTTATTGTTTATTAGTATCAGGATAATTTATAACCAAACCAAAGCTAAACTTTTAATAAATATAAAGAATTATTTATTACAATTTTGTACTTAGGAAATCAATAAAACAAAACTAAACAATTTAAATAAGTATTTAATATTTATTTCAGACTCCACACATATAATAAACATCAAATTTAGAATATTACAACAAATAGTTTTATTAATATGCAATATAGGTTTATATAAATATAATGCATGATTCATGGTACCTACAAAAGACAAAAAACAAATAAAACATCTGCCACAGATAACTTAAAATAAACACTAACATTAAACATTACCACAAGACATAAAACTTACTTAATTCGCTTTAAGGTTACTTACAAGAATACTTTTTATTTATAATACAGATATCGAATTCCCATCTCTCAAAGTAATTCTATAATACTTCATAATCGGATCTTCAATTAGATATTCACTGTCTACCGCTCCATTCTCCTCCAAAAACTCAGTGTGGCCACACAACCAGTCTAAATACAACTTTAAATACCTGTCTGTAGGGTCTACATCCGTGTGACCCAGACAAAATATCCTATAGGCATCCTCGCCGTATTTACCGATGCCGCATAAGTCACTGGCTCGTCGCCATTTTGAAGAAACAAACTGATAACTGAGCTTCCATATCATATGACCTCTTTTCCTTAATCCTAAGTTATCAAAGAACCTTTCCAAAGATAATGGCGTGTCACTTAAAACATGATAAGGTGTTGGATATTCTGCGAAGAATGTTTTTATGTAGGGCCTGGCGGTTTTTCCTGAAGTTTTAGTTAAGAAAATTGTTGCTATTAACATCGCCCAGGGGTTGGATGCAAATTCTTCTTCTATTACGTAGTGCGGTGATATTGGCATAGGTCTTGGTGTGATGTTGAAAAAAGGTTGTATGTCAAGCGGTTCTTGTTCTTCTATAGTTAGTTGTGACAGACTGAGCTCTTCTGATTCAATGGACGCCTGACTGAGGTCCTGCGACGAGTCTAAAGTTTTGCTCGGTGAAAATGCACGTGGTAATATTCTTGGGCTAACATTCTTTGTTTTATTTACTTCTACATTGAAGAACCTGCTGATACAGTCTGTGTCCTCCATGATTCTGTAAAGACAGAAAAGAATATTTAGAACATGCTGTTTAAAACAATTCAACGAATAAATTTTCTAAGACTTGATATTTCAAGAATTGGTCTTCCTTATTTTGTTTTGACAAAAAAAATCCAAATAAAAGATTGACCAATTTTTTCAAATTCATTAGTCATTCCGTAGTCAAATTATTGGACAGGAATGTACAGTTACCATCCAAAAATTAAAAGAAAACCAGTCAATACAAAATACGTCGCGACCGCATCGCCTGGTACTAACTCAAAGACCACAACAAAAAATATTTTGATTATCCCAATAAAGATAATGGATTCTGTAAGATACAAATTACATACTCTAACAGTCTAATGTCTATTTGTCAATTCAAATCTAGTTAAGTCATTTACCATGTTGCTAACAATTTGCCTTTCGGCAAATCATCAAATTACTTCTTAGCATTCCGACCGCTCATCTTAGTATTTTAATTTTATTGTCTATGCAATCGCTCGAGTCTACTGGGGAATGAGTGCTTGCAGATGAGACGCCTACATTGAGAATTGAAATATGATTACCGAATTAACTAAAATTCGCGGGTTACTCACGTGTAAATGTTGAGAAAAGCTCTACCTACTAGTTTCGAACCACAGAGGGGTTCTTCCTCATGAACAGCGTGCGCGGACGCGGCGACGTCGCGCAGCCTACTCTAGTAGAGCTTTTCTCAACATTTACACGTGAGTAACCCGCGAATTTTAGTTAATTTAGTATGTCTCACGATAGTTATTATGATTACCGAATTTTCTATTATTTAACGATTTAATAAGGTCTCCGAATGGGTACTTTACCGCACGACCAGGAGGCTAACCATGACATTCAAAGTAAGACTGTTTTAATCTTACTTCAGTGTGGGTAAGAGAAAGAGCCATACTGTGTGTAATAAATCGTTGATCGTCTGTCTTGTTCATTAAAATAGTACCGAATAAACCATCATACTGCAAAGACGTGTGTTAATTTCTACAAAGTCCTACAAACAATACTGAACCTTAAGCAAGTCAACATATGGTCCAAACGAGCCGGATTAGTAAAAAAAATAGATAAGGACGACCCGGCGATCGGAGAACAAAAGGCCGCTTACCTGAGCCAGTTTTTTATGTGCATCAAGTTTTATGCAAGTTATTAATAATTGAAACATTAAGTATAACTAGAAAAACAATCGATTGAAGTAAAAACGTGTGTGTTTTTAAAACTATCATATCAAGAACATCTTAGAAGCTACATTGCAGTGAATTACGTGGATAAACTAGTACCTACCTATAAACAAGTTAAAACTGTGATTGACTTCGGATTGTAAGTTCTGAGTATTAAAATATTATAAGAACATTTGAATAGACAAGAATAACAATGAGTGTTACGTTAACCAGTGAACAACAAAAGTTAATAAACTCGTTAGAAGATATTTTTTTACTATTACAAAAGACGCAAGGTAATTTAAAGAAATGTCCGAAGCAAAGATTAACGAGAGGTTATATTGAAACTAAACTACAAACTATAGAAGAATATTGGCGAACATTTAATAAAACGCATCAAGATTTAGTGAAATGTACACCTAAGACTAAAAGAAGCGAAGTTCAATATTTTGAAAACGAAGATTACTTTGTTGTTGAAGACTTATACTCTTGTCTAATAGGCGATCTAAGGGATATGCTGTCGATATTTTCGAAGTCTACAGAAACTCAGAGTCAGAGTCAATCCTTTGATGGTTTGACGCCACCACGTGTTAAATTACCACGCATCGAATTACCAACCTTTAACGGAAGCTATGATGATTGGCCTATGTTTCGAGATATGTTCACGTCGCTGGTACATAACAACACGTCTTTATGTAATGTTGAAAGGTTACATTACCTGAAGTTGAGCCTTGTTGGTGAACCTAAGGAATTATTGAAACATATCAATGTCACCGAGGATAATTATGAACAGGCATGGAATGCACTTGTTCAACGGTATGGAAACAAACGTTTAATAGTTTATTCTCTACTCCAAAAATTATTTAATCAAAAGAAAATGACCTCTCCATCAGCCGTGCAAATAAAGAATTTGTTAGATACAACCTCTCAGTGCTTAAATAATTTGAAAAATCAAAAAATACCTGTCGAGTACTGGGATCAGATAATAATTTACATACTGGTACAAAAGTTAGACGTTGATACACACACAGCCTGGGAAGAAGATTCTTACAAGGGAAATTCAGACAAACTATCAAGTTGGGAAGAACTTAAATCATTCCTGGAGACAAAATATCGGACACTAGAGATGGTTAACCCTACAACTAAAAAGGAGCAGACAAGTGTTAAGGCGAAGTCATTCCATTCCACATCACCGGAGGGGAAGACTGATAAATCACCAACAAGGTCATGCAGTATGTGTAACGCGGAGCACCCTTTGTTTCATTGCAAAGAATTTTGTAAGTTAGAACCTCATGAACGTAGTGAGTTTATTAAGAAAACCAGGTTATGCTTCAACTGTTTGACATCTGGACATTCTGTGAAAAAATGCCGCAATCGAATGTCCTGCCGAAGATGCAATCGCCGCCATCATACATTGTTACATCAACCTAGTAGCTTTCAGTCAGACAATGTGAAGACGAATCAATTTCAAACAGAGATCGAAACAAAGACGGCGGCTGACAGTGTCAATTCTGAGGTAGCATTAACTACGCACTTTGTGACGGGAAGATTAACAGCGTTGCTTGCAACCGCATTGGTGCAAGTGACTGATGAAGACGGCCACAATACAGTGCTGCGAGCGCTAATAGACCAGGGCTCGCAAGCAAATTTTGTAAGCGAGCGAGCAGCACAGTTATTAAAAGCTAAGAGAACCCGAATAAAGGGAACTATTACTGGCGTCGGAGCAGCGCAAACTACTGTCAATCACGTCATAAGGGTCGAGCTTCGTTCAAGGTATGAGAGGGACTTCCAGCTTAGCATCAATGCTTATGTGATGCCGACACGATTGACCTCACATTTGCCATCAGAAAAGTTTAATGGTTCAACGGAGACCTGGCCGCACTTAAAAGGACTCACCCTGGCAGACCCAAGTTTTCATTCACCAGGGCGAGTAGACATGCTGCTAGGCGTAGAGGTTTGTGCACAGATTTTAAAGAATGAGATAATCAAAGGTCCCCCTGGCTCCCCATGTGCACAAAACACAAGCTTAGGTTGGATCTTATTTGGAAGGATTCACGCACAAACATCAGAAAAATCAATACTAGTGATGCATCATAAGCTTGATCTCGATGAACTGTTGAAATCTATGTGGGAGGTTGAAACAGATACACAAGGAAAACTTAGCAAAGAGGAGGAAGACTGCGAGAGAATTTATGAAGATACATACACGCGAAATAGTGAAGGGCGATACATAGTCAAACTGCCATTTAACACGAATAACCCACAATCACCGCATGGCAATACAAAGGAAGGGGCTCTGAGGAGATTATACCATTTGGAAAGACGTTTCTTGAGGAATGAAGACCTGAAAAGGGAATATACTAAAGCAATTAATGAATACAAAGACATGGAACACATGGAAGAAGTGCCAAATGCTGAAAGAAATAAACCAGCCGTATATCTACCGCACCATGCGGTGGTGAAAGAAGAAAGCGAGACTACCAAAGTTAGGCCTGTATTTGATGCCTCTCACAAGGGCTCAAATAACATAGCACTAAACGAAGAATTACTAGTAGGACCGCAACTACAGGATGATATGAGATCACTCGTTATGAGATGGCGCCTGAAAAGAATAGCATTTGTAGCCGATATTCAGAAAATGTATCGACAGATACTTGTGTCAAAAGAGGATGCCGATTATCAAAGGATTGTCTGGCGCAACAACTCTGATGAACCTGTGAAGGAATATCGGCTTCTACGAGTCACCTTTGGCACGGCATGCGCACCCTACCTTGCCGTCAAGACTCTGCACCAGGTGGCAAAAGATGAAGGCAAGAATCATCCCCAAGCAGCAGCCATTATCAGACAGGACTTTTACATGGATGATCTAATGTCCGGTCAAGATACGGTACTCGAGGCAGTTGCTATAGCTAAGGACATAAAGGCAATTCTGAGCAGAGGTGGTTTCATCCTACAAAAATGGGCGTCAAACAACTCGGATTTCCTAAGAGAATTTCATCCAGCTGAGCTCAGCTCTCATGTTAATATCGATATCAAGTTAGATGGCTTGATAAAAACACTGGGGTTATCCTGGAATATGGGAGAAGATATACTTAAATACAACCTCAAACTACCACCCTTATCAGAAACAGTCACAAAGAGAAAAATATTGGCCGAGGTTCAACGTCTTTTTGATCCTCTGGGATGGTTGGCTCCAGCTCTGGTACCTGCAAAAATAATGATTCAGAAATTATGGCTCCTACGGGTCCACTGGGATGAAGAACTCTCACCTGAAACTAAAAACGAATGGTTAAATATAAGACACAGTTTTGAAGATATCAAATCTATTAAATTAGAGAGATGGCTCGGAACAACACAAGAAACGTTAAAGGATGTTTCTATTCACGGTTATTGTGACGCATCAACTAAAGCGTATGGAGCAGTTGCTTACCTGAGGGTTCGAGGAGTCAACGGAGACTATCAGACCGGAATCATCGCCGCTAAAACAAAGGTGGCTCCTATCAAGGCACTATCCCTACCACGGCTGGAATTATGTGGAGCAGTCCTCCTGTCTAAGTTGCTAAAACAAATCAGTGAGGCGACACGCATCCCCAAGAGTCAGATATTTTGTTGGACTGATTCTACAATAGTGTTGTCATGGCTACGAGGAGATCCAAATAGATGGCAAACATTCGTAAGAAATAGAGTGATAACCATACTTGACAACGTTGGAAACAAATGGTACCACATACAATCACAACAAAATCCAGCTGATGTCGCATCGAGAGGAATGTTAGCCCCTGAATTAAGAAACTACGAACTCTGGTGGCGCGGTCCAGATCATCTGACACAAGAAAAAATACAAATGGAAACATTCATTAGTGAAGAAACAGATCTAGAAAGTAAAAAACCTATTAATACTTACCTCACAAGAGAACGCGAAGAAAATTCCGTGTATCAAAAAATGGAATGTTTCAAAAACTTACCTGAGTTACTGCAAGCTATCACGTATGCTAACAGATTTCTGAAGTTGAGACAAAATCAACTTGTGGATATGCCAATAACTACTGATGAACTTGAAAACTCGCTGCAGATCTGTATAAGAATAGTGCAAAATGTTAATTTCCACGAAGACATCAGAGACTTGAGAGAGAAGAATAGAGTAAAAAATACAAGTCGTTTGAAGACCCTAAACCCTTATCTGGATACTAAAATGATACTCAGGGTGGGCGGTCGATTACAAAACGCTAATTATTTAGAACACGACCGTCTGCATCCTATGGTCTTAGATGACAAAAATCCACTTACCTTGTTACTAGTAGCTGATGCTCATAAACAGACACTGCACGGCGGAATACAGTTAATGCTAAATTACCTGAGGTCCAGATATTGGATTTTGAAAGTTAAGAGTTTGGTAAAGGCATACATTCATAAATGCTTTGTCTGTGCCAAGCTCAATGCAAGATCTTGGACACAACAAATGGGCGAGTTACCGAAGGTACGAGTGACCCCCGCACGGCCCTTTCTTCACAGTGGCGTTGATTTTGCTGGACCTTATGATGTTCTTATGTCCAAAGGCAGAGGTGCAAAAACAAACAAGTCCTACATCTCCATCTTCATATGCATGTCGACAAGGGCTGTTCATTTAGAGCTCGTAGGAGACATGACGTCAGAAGCCTTTATCGCAGCCTATCGGCGCTTTGTATCGCGTCGTGGAAGATGCAGTGATTTGTGGAGTGATCAGGGAAGAAATTTCGTAGGGGCGAATAAGTCACTTGCTGAGGCGTTCAAAGAGGCAAAATTTGAATTTGGTGATCAGATGTCCAGTCTACTAGCATCTGACGGCACTCAATGGCATTTCATACCTGCCTATAGCCCAAATTTTGGAGGCCTTTGGGAGGCGGGAGTGAAATCCATGAAATACCACCTCAAACGCATAATGAATACGAATCTGACATACGAAGAGATGACCACCGTATTATGTCAAGTGGAAGCATGTCTAAATTCCCGTCCACTGTGCCCAATTATTGAGTCAGATTTGAACAACCTGGATGTACTTACACCTGGCCATTTCCTCATTGGAGAGGCTCCAATTACTATACCTTCACCGAGCCTGAAGGATATCTCCCAGTCAAGCTTATCACGGTGGCAACATTGTCAACGGATACTGTCGAACTTTTGGCATCGCTGGCAGAGTGAGTATCTTTCAAGACTTCAGCAAAGACCAAAGTGGCAAAAATTACAAGAAGAATTTGACATTGGCCAGATTGTTCTTATCAAAACAGACGGATTGCCACCTGGCAAGTGGCCATTAGGACGAATTGTGGACAAACACCCAGGACCGGATGGAATCACTAGGGTCTATAGCGTGAAAAGTGGTACGAATATTGTAAGAAGGTCAATTTCCAAACTATGTTTTCTACCCATCAATACTAGTAAAAGTAATTAATTGCATGTGTTTGTAATCATTAAGAATAATTATTTGTTTAATTTTCATTCAAGTTCTTTAATAATTTTATGATAATATTGTAACTTAGAAGATGCAGGCATAGTTGTAGTCGTTACACAGACTCCCAATTTGTTTTGTATTGTAAAACTTATGTTGTAGTCTATTTTTGAACGGCATATTGTTTATCTGTTAGTTAAGTATTTAATTAATATTTGATGAACATAATGTCTGCATGTTTGAATGTTAGTGAAGTTAATTAATGTTAATCGTAAAAGGAATTAAAATCCCTTTTGGTGGGCGGTATGTGTGTAATAAATCGTTGATCGTCTGTCTTGTTCATTAAAATAGTACCGAATAAACCATCATACTGCAAAGACGTGTGTTAATTTCTACAAAGTCCTACAAACAATACTGAACCTTAATCAAATCAACACATACATTTACAAGTTGTCAAGCTCTGTCTCATGGTTACCCCCCGGAACCAGATCTGAGCGTCATGCGTATCGGCTATCTCCATACGCCTCAAAGAACTAACAGACCACCACAAAAATGAGGGCCGATTTCCAGCCAAGATTGCCGATGCAAGCACAATAACAGAGGATGATTCCCTCTCTTCAGAAAAAAGGTATTACGATACGAGTAATTATGTCCTTAAATTACAACTAATTACGAAGAGAAAGGCACGCTTTGTATTATCTGTGATCAAAAAATTCCAGACTCAATCTATTATAATATTATAAATGCACAAGTTACAATGTTTGGATGTTTGTGACTCAATCACGCCAAAACGGTTGGACGGATCTGGATGAAATTTGGCACAGGCATAGGATACACTTCGGAATAGGACATGGCTACAACACACCACGCGGGCGAAGCAGCGGTTGGAAGCTAGTTATAAATCTAATAAAGATGAATAGTTTTTTTGAGTACATCACAATTACTATAATTTATAGTTGAAATTTAAAAAATATTTTTGCGTCACTTATAAGCAAAGAGGATATAAACACTGGTGGTTATAAATATCCTCTTTTCTATAAGATTTATCCAGAAAAACTATTATAGGCTATAAAACAACACGCTACATTTAACGGTAGCCGAGTAGCGAGTGGAACCACGCGGCAGTAGCACGTTAAATAATAAACAAGAAGTGGGCCGAGTGAAGACTACGGTCTTCTATTATGTAGGAAGTATTACGAGGGAGACCCTTGCTCAGCAGCTGATATATTACTATGAAAATAAAAGCTTTTAAGCATTTGTTTACATTGGATTCCAAGGATAATTTGGAGAAGAAAGTCTGAAAGGGAATTTATGAAACCAAATATCAGACAGGAGCTCATGCCAAGTCCTAGATTATTCAGCTCTTCTCCATCTTCCCAAGGAAGTGTTTGATGAGTGAGTATGATAAGATATGTCTGATATGTCCCATTTGATTTCAAATTAGTTTTTGAAATCTCACGGATGGTGCGGTGGTAGGACAACTGGCTGCCGTGTAACGTGTCGCGGATTCGATTCCGGCACGGAACAACACTTTGTGTGATCCACAAATCGTGGTTCCGGGTCTAGGTGTGATGGGTTTTTTTTTGTGAGGGGAAAATCATCAAATGACTTCTCCCGCCCAGGGCCGGGCAGGAGGGAGTGTCAGACTCTTACTGACTAAAAACCCCCCTGTTCCTTCTCCTGCTCTGTGCCGAGGTCGCGGTACCTCATTGCGCTTACCCCGCAACCCCTGCTGAACATCAGCCCTTTAGGGCCCCGTCTGTGGTGGTCGAATGGCTCTTAGAGGCGCGCGCGGAACGCTACGCGCCGTACGCTCGGGAGGTGTGATGGGTAGGTATATAAAATTGTATGTTTGTAAACGCACCCACGACCAACACAAGTGTGGGGCAGCTATTAAAAAAAAAAAAAGTTGATACAAGACGTCTTATTTGCAATATCGTCGCCATAAGAGTGAGCACATTATTTCTCGCGTCCCCTAACAATTGGAGCAATGTCATTGCGAACCATTTCTCTATTCAGTAGGTATGACCTTATGACGATAGATTAACTGCATAATCAATAACCACTAGTACGGTAAACCGTTAATATTTTATACGCTAATAACTTAATAGACAATAGGTAGTTACATTTTTCATAGTTCGCAATATTATGTTGCGTTTTTTATTGATTCTTTGGTACATTATTTTACCTATAGATTTTTTTTGTGAGGTTAATATCATCAAATGTCTTCTCTGGCCAAGGGTGAGGCGAGAGGGAGTGTCAGACTTTTACTGACTAAAAGCCCCCTTACAGCTCTAGGCCGAGGCTGCAGTACCTAATTACGCTAACAGTTGTTTTACGGAAATCTAAGATTATCCAGAAGACTACTAAAGGAATGGAAGGAGAGTTATTTTAGATTTTACAGATCCTATATTTTTTTGTCAACTTTATCTCGTTTTTAATAGGGGTGATGAAAGAGTATGTAACTAAAAATCTTACTAGCCAATCACATACAAGACAAAAATATATGACAAGTATTTTTTATTTTGTCCTGTGAGTACTTACGATTTAAATTTAAATTTAGAAGGTGGAGGAGGTCACTACATCACCTTTTAGAATAAAATGTATCTACTGAATCGTGACGTCACACGACATTCAAATCAATTTATCATCGAAAGTATTTGATTCCATGACAAAAGAAACAGCCAGGGTTACGGGGTAAGCGCAATGAGGCTCCGCGACCTCGGCCCAGAGCAGGAGAAGGAATCGGGGAGTTTTTAGTCAGTAAGAGACTGACATCACTAACTCCCCCCCTACCCTGGGCGGGAGAAGTCATTTGACGATTTTGCCCTCACAAAAAAAACCTACTCTAATGCGTGTTTCTTATGTTTCGAAGTAATATGGAGGATCAAAACTATTGTATTCAGGGATGGACGGAATGGCAATGGCAAAGTTAATCTATTCGAACTTTTTGTGGGGCAAGCGCAATAAGGGACTGCGGTATCCACCTTGAGCAGGAGAAAGAACAGGGTAGTTTTTTGTCAGTAAATCTCTGGATCGGATCCTCGCATCCTCGGATCCTCTCGGCCAGGGGCAGGGAAACTGAGCCATAAAAGCTACTCGAACTGTGCATTTGATCTGAGCAGAGAACCACGCAAAGGTGCACTCACCTTTCAAATAAAACAGTCAATATTTGCCACAAAAAACTGGTTTAACAAAAGGGGTCGCCGGTCCATCTGTCCTTTCACGACCCCTATTCATGATCTCATTACAGCTAGTTATTGTACCCGGCTCTGCCTGTACAAAGAAGACATGCTATTATTAGGCTTACCTATTGTATATGAGTACTTACATACAAGTTTTCATATAATTATATTTTTTGATGAAACCCTTGCTATCTGATAAGACCTCGATTCAGTTGACATTGAAAAAAATGGCTGCTATTTAGCAATAGACGTTCTAAAATCGAAAATCTTTTTGACATTTGTACTTTAATCAAATATAAATCATATAATTTTATTTCTTTTGACTTTTAATCAGTAAGAGGCACAGTCTGTTATTTATTCAATTATTTTCTCGTTAGAACCAGCTAATCTCAGATAATACTGGTTTGAATAAAAAAATATTTTTGTGTTGGATCGTCGATCGACGAGCAGCGGATGAAACTGCTGGCAAAAGATAATTTTGCTTTTGATAATTATGCAGATACTGCCAAAAAACTAATTTTGAGACAAGTCTTTATTTGCATAGATGGGACCCACCAAAGCTGATGTTCAGCCGAACGTTGCAGTTGCATGTGCAATGACGTACTGCAGCTTGGTTCGGAGTAGGAGAAGGCACGAGAAGTTTTAGTCCGTAGGAGTCTAGCACTCCCTCTCGTCTCACCTAGAATAGAAGAAGGGAATTGATGATTCGGCCCCTTAAAAAGCATGATTTTATCGATTACGAATATGTAGTTTTGTTGTACATAATTACATAAAAATTGGTCTAGTCTTTTAAGAGGAAATCATAACAAATATTTTATTTTGCATATAAAATTACGAGTTGGGAAGTAGACACTGACATGTGTAAATAATTGTTTCCTAAAGACACAATTAGTAGAAGACACAAGAAGTGTAGGCTGTCAGCCCACGCGAGTAAAATCATAAAGTTATCAACTTTGCTATTTTAAGAGCCACGCGATCTGTGCAAATATCTTCAGTAAACGTCTGAGTGCCTTCTCCGTATAATTTAATTAGACTATTTGTAGGATGATACTGGTTTTACGAATGTAAAAGGTTGAATTTATTCTTTTGTTTTATTTATTGTATTGTCAGGGTATTGGATTTGATATTAGGGGGTTTAAGTGTGGGAGAGCCATGCTTCGGCATGCCATGAATGGGTCGGCTCGACCAGAGTGATACCACGGCCTCACAGAAAACCGGCGTGAAACAACCACAGCGTTGTGTTTCGCCTTGTGAGTGAGGTTACCGGAGGCCCAATCCTTCCCCTACCCCAATCCTTCCTCAACCCCCAATTCTCTAAATCGGTAACTCCTCCGTTGCGGGTGTCCATGGGCGGCGCTGATTGCTTACCATCAGGTAATCCGTCTGCTCGTTTGCCGACTTATTACATCAAAAAAAGGTTCATACTCGTATCCAATAATATACTTATTACAATATACAACACACGAGTATTATGAGCTTTAATTAATTAAATCAGCATATTCTTTCTATTTAACAGATAACAATTAATAGGTGATCGTGTACTGACAGCAGAAAGTAATGCATCTTTTCTTTATTGAATTTGAAAATAACGACTGAGTAAGTCTTTTTTTCAATAGATTTAGTATGAGTCATAATAGTTATTAAACAAAATATTATCCGTATCAAACTTATATCGATTCCATCTTCAGGAGAATGGCAAGACTCGAGGAAAGCTCGACTAGTTTCACAAGTCACAACGGGACTCTTATTCATGGGCAGCGTGCGCGATGACGACACTGCGCAGCCGCCTTCTTCTACTTCTATTCTTCTTACGAAAGCCGTCGGATACAACAAAGGGTCATTTGACAGATGAGCAGTGGTTTCTAGAGGACAATGAATTATTCAAATAAGGCATACTACCTAAGTAGTAGTTAGCCCATTAGATATATATATTTAATAGATAAAATACTAAAGAAAAACGATATAGCTTGTTTCTAGCTTGTGTTTCTCCATACGTAGGTATCTAATCCTAGCTTCAATGACGAACAGACTGTCGGACTAACATTCTATTCTGACGTTTCGAAAGTACGTTTTCATGGTTTAGTTGGAATAAATGATTTTTACTTGACTTAACAATGAAAATGAAACAGAATAAGGGTCCCTTTGTGACTCGAAAGTTGTAGAGCTTTACTCAGTAAATTCGCGCGAATAACTCTTTATTTTCAATAGATTTAATATGAGTCATGATATATGTCACTGCACAAAAATATTAGCTGTATGTAAGTTATACATATAAACTTTTATTGTATAAGTACATACTACATACTTATGTAAGGAAAATTGCATCGTAGCATTTCATTTGTTTTGTGATTCGCTGTTTGCTATCGATTTTATCTTACTGCAAAACAAATTATTGTGTTGCACTGTAGCGAAATTGACGTAAGTAAATCTATATGAAACAATTTGGTTTACTTGTATAATACAAGTTGTATTCTATACATATACTACTTTAACTTCAGTAAGTATATATTTCTGTATGAGTTAGGTCGGCAAACAGGCAGACGGATAACCTTATGGTAAGCAATCAGCGACGCCCATGGGCCTGCGGTATCCTCACTCACACGGCGAAACACAACGCTGTGCTTGTTTCACGCTGGTTTTCTGTGAGGCCGTGGTACTCCAGTCGAGCCGCAGCCGACCCATTCGTGCCGAAGCATGGCTCTCCCACACTTTTGTATTTTTTTGCTATTTCCAGCACAAGATGAAGTCCTCGATTTTGTATAGATCTACTTATAATTCAGTCTATTATTTTTAAGGATTAACTAGAGGCGTAACTATAGAAGTGGGAACATTAACTCCTGTTTAAAAAATACAGGAAGATTAATGTTCAGATTATCTAATATACAATACCTAAGCCCTGGTGTAGTTCTATAATCCCACAAATATTATAAATGCGAAAATCTGTAAGTATGAGTGTTTATTTGTAACTCTTTCACCTCAAAACTACTGAATAGAATTTGATGAAACTTGACACAGAGAGAGATTATAATCTACAAAAACACAGAGCATTTTTATTCGAGTAACGCAGACTAAGCCACTGGAAGAAGTTCATTTAATGCAACAATAAATATTGGCTACGGGCGTACAAAATAAACAACATTGAAAATAAATCAATTGTAAATTTGTTAACTCTCGACTCCGCTAGATATCACCACTTGTCATATTGAATAAATACTAGCACAAAGTGAGAACAACCACTTGAACGGCGCGCATTGGCGTTTGCCACCAACATTGGACGTTGGCGCTCGAATACGAGATTTGTGTTGGAAACAAATGTTGGCGTGCAAGTAACAGGTTGGCCGGCCAATATATGCCAGTGTCAATGGTCGCTTCATACAGGATTTATAGAGCACCCTTTTCTGAGATGTGACCTTCTTTTTAAGGGGCTCGCTCGGACCTTCTGTAGTTTGAAGTATTGAAAGGATTGAATACACAGTATTTGCTTGCTCATTATAAAGGAAAGTTTAGCATTATGAAAATGTCAATAAGGTTTTAAATTTGGATTATTTTGTCGTTATCCCGATTATAAGCTTAGAAATTGTCTTAAAAAGGTTATATAGGTGATTAAGATAATTTCCAAGAATTTTGGAAATTCTCTTAAAACTGGAAATTGAAAATTGGAAATTCTCTTGAAATTGAGCTTTCTAAGCTTGTAATTGGGATAACGTTACAAACGTTATCATAACGTTACTTTTGTGAGTGGTAAATCGTTAAATCTTTGAGGAGACGGACTGTCAGACTGTTCCTGACTATAAGTCACTCCGTTCCTTCTCCTGATCCAGGTCGAGGCCGCGGCTTGCCCTGCAACCCCGGCAGCGGTAAAGGAAAATGTATTTTATTGTGAACATATAAAGCCTACTATAATTATTTAGTTAACCCAGTAGAGCTAAAGTAGAGGAACACGTTAAATAAAGATGACTTGCCACGATCTCAGACCACGAGAAAGTCTCATTATAACATGGTCAAAGCTTAACAAGTGATGCGCGGACGCAAGATCGCATTAAATACATTAGTTTTTTTTATGACCAACCAATGTTTGTTGTTTGTCTTAAAAGAATAACGCATAGTGTATGGCTTTTTTTGTGAGGGGAAAATCATCAAATGACTTTTCTCGCCCAGCGCCGGGCGGGAGGGAGTGTCAGACTCTTACTGACTAAAAACCCCCTTGTTCCTTCTCCTCTGGGCCGAGGTCGCGGTGCCTCATTATAGTGTATGGCTTAAGCTTTAAATATTGGAAAAATATATATTTTGCAAATACCTTCGTATGTTGTTTTCTAACGAGCGTCATGCGTTTACAAATACATATTTCAAAAGAAATTATAGTAGACTTTTTTCCTACACCTACCTACAGGCAGATGAGACAGACATTTAGTTTAGGCACGTTGATTTTTTTAAAGGAGGAAAAGCATCTAATGGCTTCTCTAAGCTCTGGGTAGGGCGAGATATAAAGAGTCAGTCTCCTACTGACTAAAATCCAGTTCCCCATTACTTCTACCGCTCCGAGCTGGAACCGCTGTACATTATTGCTGAACATCAGCCCTATTAGGGGCCCATCTGTGGTGTAGATTGAATAATTATTATCTTTACAATGATATATTTATTTATTTGCCTCCGGTAACCTCACTCATACGGCGAAACACAACGCTGGGTTGTTTCACGCTAGTTTTTTGTGAGGCCGCGGTATCACTCCGGTCAAGCCGACCTACACGTGCCGAAGCATCGCTCTCCCGCACTTTAAACTCAAAAATGTACCGCAGCTGAACATCAGTCTTATTGGGCCCCTAGATCTTTAGCGTAGACTGAATATTTATTATATTTACAATGTAAACATAACATTCTTCTTTCCGTATAGTAATAGACATTATTTTTTCTCTTTTCCCGGATTTTTCGCGGGAAAAAACGAAACGTGCTTGAATGGCAGTCACCCAGTGTTATATCGATTATGTCAGTAACAATAATAGTGATTCCACGAGATAATATCATCACAGTTTCTTTGTACCGTGTTAATTACCTACCATACATGGATTACGTGACTTTTCATAAGATTAACGACTGTTTTTCACTGAAATAAGTGATTGTGTTTGTAACACGAATTTCCTTAGAATCTTGCGTTTTTTATCCTGATTGCACATCGCTAGGGTAAGGGAAAAACGTTTTAATTTGTTGTTAGTTAAGCCATATTTTCAATAAATATTATTGAGGTAAATAACAAATCAAATATTATCTATTTTAAATCTTATTAATATTATAAATGCGAAAGTTTGCATGTATCGAAGAACGATAATACCTCTTGGACTTGTGCTTGGACGCATATTTTTCTCCTACCGTCTACTTTTGTGATATTGTTTTTACCTTGCTCAATGTATTTTTATTTTAACTTTATTTTATTATCTTGTTCGTTTTGTGTCTTTTATGCGTCCCAGACGCGAATAAATACTTTTTCTTTCTTCTTTCTTTCATTCTTTCTCTTTTTTGGATTTCAATGAAAACTATACTAATATTACAAAGCTGAAGAGTTTATTTATTTGAACGCGCTCATCTCCGGAACTATATGTATACTTATTAGTTAGTTTTTACTATATTTTTAGTTGTATAAACCAATAGCTACTCTAGCGCGTTTTCACCCGCTGCCGCGCTAATTGGTTCCATTTAATCGTAGCGTGATGTTTTATAGCTTACAGCACTCAGGAACATTGTAGTTATCTATCAGTGAAAGAATTTTGGCAATCCGACCAGCGGTTCCAAAGATTACCCCCTACATACAGATTTTTACATACAAATTTTAACTCTTTATAATATTAGTATAGATTTATCGAGGAAGGCTATACAATAATACTCTACGACCAATAGGAGGCGATCAGGCAGCGAGTGAAACCGCGAGATACATAAGCGCGTTTGACAGAATAATGTTATTCTAAAATCACATTTCAAAATAATCACATTAAATTGAAACACGACAAAGAGCACGTTTAATTTAAAAAAAGAAATCGTGTTTTAATTTCTTATATCATTAGTCTTCATTGCCAAACAATTTAATTAAAACAATATTATAAAGCTATAAACACACTAAAACAATCCATTACTTTCGTACTACATTGACAGGTACAGTAAAAACACGTACCGAATACAGGAAAAATCGTTCATTTTTATCTTAGAAGCATCTAATCAATAAATGAATAGTGACTATGTTGTGTTTTGCGTGTGTAGCTAAGAGAATGCTTTTGTTATTGTGATTGTGATGATCTATCTAATGGTGCATAGTAATCAGGCTATTTGTGACGCCGCACGTTTTTTTTCATGTAACTCTGTTTTATTGAGTAGCTTAGATTGTGACCACACTATGGCTTTTTACCGCGTCTTATAAATCGCACTGCCTTATGAACTAAGTAGGTACTGTACAAAGTTGTTGATGATCTATGAAATAGAAATCTGCGCTTTTACCACAAAGTATTTTCTCCTGGGTACATTTCACATACACAACATGGGAACAAACATACAAATTCACATACACAAACAACCCAGACTCGAAAATTTTTGGATCGTACAAAGTGGTGTTCCATGAGGGAATCCAACCCGCATTTTGCGTTTGCATAACTAGATACTATTATCGCGAATTTATGCCGGAAGTTCCAGGTGGCTCCTCAATTCAGACGTTTAGATTGAGGAGCCACTTTTGCATTAAAATAACTCGTGATATATTTTGCTGCTAAATCTAGACTTCGTGCTGCAAAATAAGCTACATTGCTGCTAAATAATGGTGAGATCAGATTTTAAAAATCTGATGTGGCTCCTCAATCCTTACGGACATAATTCTGTAACATATCGATCTAATGAATGAATGTATCTCCACATGTGATTTCTGGGAATCCAGATCGTCGTATGTCTATTCTGAAGCGATCGGTTGCGAACATTTTTGCATCGTATCGCTATTCTCGCGCGTTTTTTAGCGAACGGGCTTAAATATTACAGTGTAAACTGCTATTAAAAGAAACCATTATTAGCAATCAACACGTGTTTAATGTTTTTATCCTGCTCTCGCATACATACATTGGAATGAAGAAAGTTAAGTCGTAAAGAGTTTTAAAGATGGCTTACTGAAACGATGAAACAGATTTTTTGCCAAAACCGTGAGTGACTGAGTGTGATGCTTTACAACGAATTGTTTTACTTTTAATTTCTTTTTTTTTTAATAAATTTTTGTTTTTTTATTTCATAATTAAAATGGAAATATGTAATAGTTTAGCTCACATAAACTATTGCACCTAACTACAATCAATGTCCAATATTTAGGTATGTAGATAGATATGTGAAAGATAATTAAAAGATGTGTGCAGGTTAGAACCTCCCAACAACGATAGGAACTTAGACTAACTGCGGCCGCCGAGGTTGCGGAACAAGCGCAATAAGGTACCGCGGCCTTAAGGAACGGGCGCATTTTTAGTCAGTAAGAGTCTGCCACTCCCTCTCGCCATAGCCTTAACGAGAGAAGTAATTTGATGATTTCCCCCCCCACAAAAAAGCTATCGCTGTAACTCTATTGTTTCCCGCGACAGTAACCCAGCTTCGTCACCATCCCCTTTTTAAAACGTATATGCACAGTAATACACACTAACAACACTGCTCTTATTCCACGAACTGATTAG